GGAAAGAGGGAGCGGAAGATCATGCATAAGGTCTTAAGTATGTCCCTCTGAAGTCACACCGGTCACTTCAGCTTACATTTCATCGACAAAAGCAAGTCATGTGGCCATATCTAACTTGGGGGCAGAGGGGAAGTTTAGTCCTCCATGCTTGAAAGGGGGTACCTGGGAACACTGGTGAGCATCCGTGATGCCTGCCACCGTCATCTAAGGACTATTGTCTGAACGCCCTGTAATGAACCTAGTAAGGTTCTAGGTTACATGAATCAAGTAAAGTTTGAAACAGATTATTCTCCTATTAGTTCTGGAGAGAATGTACGCATGTGAAATAATCAGCGAACAAGAAAACATATACCATATGCAACAGATTATAATAACATGTGTTCAATTTATATATTAATTTGGAAAATATTTACATTTTTAAGATACTTACATTTTATGATTTTAAGTCTTGCAACTAAAGAGCATGGTATATCTTTTGGGTTCTGGGACCTAATTCCAATGTATGGGGTAGGGAGTGTTCTCACATATCCAAGCAATTCTCCAGAGACCAGCTTGGTGTCCTGCAGTTCAATTCAATTCTGACACTACCTACCTACAGACAGCATCAGATTCCACAGGTTAAGGGTTCAGTCACACAAGACTCAGCCCCCAACCTGCCTTCAGAAGCCAGTCGCAAACCCAGGTTGTTACCCGTGTTTCTGACTGACTGGCTACGGATTGGAGATTCCCCATACCTCTCCTTAGATTTGAGTTTCATTAATTTTCTAGAGCAGCTCACAGAACTCAGATAAACATTTTACTTCCTAGATCACCAGTTTATTATAAAAGGATGTAACTCAGGGACAGTCAGATATAAGAGACACCTAGGGTAAGCATGGGGAAAAGGGCAGGGCCTCCTCTCAGTTCCACGTGTTCACCAACCTGGAGGCTCCGCAAACCCTGTTCTTTTGGGTTTTTATGGAGGCTTCATTTCACAGGCATGGTTAATAAAATCATTGGCCAAAGGTGACTGATTCAACCTCCAGCCCCTCTCCCCTCCCAGGAGGTCAGGGAGTGGGATGAAAATTCCAACTCTCTAATCACAAGGTTGGTACCCCCTGGCAACCAGCCTCCATGCTTAGGTGTGTTCCAAAAGTTACCTCATTAACAAAAGACACCGTTACAGCTCTCATTACTTAGGAAGTTTCGATGGTTTTAGGAGCTCTGTGCCGGAAATGGTTATGAAGAGCAAATATATATTTCTTATTATAAATCACAATATCACAGTATGTCTCTCTATTTATTCATTGTTGTTTTCGTAATGTCCTCTAATAAAATTTTATAGTGCTTTCTGGTTAAAGGTATTCCTAGATGTTTTATAATTTTGTTTGTCGTTTTTTTTTTTTTTTTTTTGCGGTACGCGGGCCTCTCACTGTTGTGGCCTCTCCCGTTGCGGAGCACAGGCTCCGGACGCGCAGGCTCAGCGGCCACGGCTCACGGGCCCAACCGCTCTGCGGCATGTGGGATCTTCCCAGACCGGGGCACGAACCCGCGTCCCCTGCATCGGCAGGCGGACTCTCGACCACTGCGCCACCAGGGAAGCCCTTGTTTTTATTTTTGAGTGAAATTTTCCCTGCTCCTCCCATTTTATTTCTACCTGGCTGTTGGTAGTACAGAGAATGGTTGCTTGATTTTTTTATATTTTCCTTCATCCAGATATCTTAATCTTAATACTTTTAATATTTTTCATAGCTTTTGTAGTTTAATCTCTTTTTCAGAGTTACATTTCCTCTTCTTACATTGCAGCAATAGGTGAATCATACAATGTTGTTACTAATGGAAATAATCTTTACTTTGATTTTATTTAAAAGAATATTGTTGATTATTAGTTTCTGTTAATCTCATGCTATTTGAAATTTTTGTATAGAGTTTTAAACAGGAATGAATGCTGAATTTTAGCACATATTTTCCAGAATTAATCATAGGAGTTTTATATTTAATTTGTTAGTATTTGAAATATGTTGATGGGTTTCCTAATATTGGACCACATATACATTCCTGGAATAGGTATAACTTGGTGGACTTTCTTTAATGTATTGCTAGATTTGGTTTGCTAATGCTTATTTCCTGGCGTTCTAGTTAATTGAATCATTTGTTTCCCCCAAAACACCACCACCAGTATTTCAGTCTTTTGATAATAATATTAGTTCTCATATTCTTAATACAGCTTTTCCTGTTCCAGCTTTAAAGGTTAATTGCGTTTTAACACTACATGTTTTATGCAGCTCCTATAACACCAACAATAGTAATAGTTGACTCCATGTGTTCTTATTAGAATTCTACCAAATATATGGCTGGGTAGCTGCCCTCGCCAAGTGGAACATGTAACCATCAAACTGAAGCATGAACTGGGGATTACAGCTGTCATGAACTTCCAGACGGAATGGGATATTGTACAGAATTCCTCAGGCTGTAACCGCTACCCAGAACCCATGACTCCTGACACTATGATTAAGCTGTATCAGGAAGAAGGCTTGGCCTACATCTGGATGCCGACACCGGATATGAGCACTGAAGGTAAGCATGAGAAGAAGCTTTCTGGCTCCTCGTTGAATGTGTTTCAAAGAAGCCCTTGCTGGTTTTTCGCCTGTCTGTCTATCTGTCTGCCTATCTACCTACCTACCTTGCTGTCTATAATTGAATGACCTAAACGTGAATGACAGATATGGAATAAATATAAGGTTTTTGGTTTAATATATTTAATATATATATCTTTTGACACCTTGGCTAAGATACTGTTTAACATGGGTCCTTCGATTTATTTATTCATTAAACATGTATTTACTGTGTATTAACTATGTGTGGGACCCTAGGCTGGTGGTTGGGAATACAACAGTGAGGAAAAGCAGGCACAACTCCTGTCCTCATGGAGCTTCTAGTTCTATAGGGCAGACAAGCGTTAATCAAATGACTACAAATAGAGTTGTAAAGCTATGATGAGTTTTTGGTTAGAAAGATACATAGATATTGCTATGAGAGCCTAGGCAGGCAAATCAGACCTAGGAAGAAGGGCCAGAGAAGGTTTTCTCGGGTGTGTTTGAGCTGAGATCTGAAGCGGGAGTTGGCACGGGTGAGGTGGGAAAGAGGCTTCCAGGCAGAGGGAGCAGCTTGGGAAGAATCCCCGTTGCAGGAGAACACAGAGTGTTGGAGGAACTGAAAGAAGGCCAGTGTGGCTGCAGGGCTGGGAAGGAGGGAACAGAGTCTTGCAGGATTCGGGGCACAATAAAAACTTTAGATGCTATCCTAAAGCAGTGAGAAGCACTTGAAAGGGCGGGAGGCTGAGAGAAGTCTTTAACTTTTTTTTTCCCCTCTAAAAGTGCCCTTCGTTTGCAGTGTGGAGAATGTCGGAGTGGGCCCCAGCCGATCTGGGGACGCCAGTTAGGAGGCGACTGCAGTAGGTAAGGTGAGAGATAACGAGAGAGAATGCAGCTCGGGGCAGGGTGGCAATAGTGACGCTTCATTTACTGCACAAACACTGGCTGAGCGTGTCTTTGTGAAGAGGGAAGTAGGGTGTGACATGGATGCTGCCAGGGAAGCAGAGATAAATAAGGCACACTTTTTTTTTTTTAATTTATTTATTTTATTTATTTATTTTTGGCTGTGTTGGGTCTTCGTTGCTGCACACGGGCTTTCTCTAGTTGCGGCGAGCGGGGGCTACTCTTCGTTGCGGTGTGCAGGCTTCTCATTGCGGTGGTTCTCTTGTTGCAGAGCATGGGCTCTAGGCGCCCGGGCTTCAGTAGTTGTGGCACATGGGCTCAGTAGTTGTGGCTCGCGGGCTCTAAGGTGCAGGCTCAGTAGTTGTGGCGCACAGGCTTAGCTGCTCTGCGGCATGTGGGATCTTCCCGGACCAGGGCTCAAACCCTTGTCCCCTGCAATGGCAGGCGTATTCTTAACCACTGAGCCACCAAGGAAGCCCAAGGCACACTTTTGATCTCATGGTAAGAGGCAGTAAGGCAAGTTCAAAACTAATTATAGTAGAAAGAAGAATGTGATGAGAGAGATGAGCCCTGCGCACTAGGAGGGTTATAGCGTGGGAGGAGCTCTTTTACGGCAGAGCACAGGGAGGCTACATGAGCATCCTGGGATTTGAGGTGGGCGTGGCAGGTCCAGGTAGAGGGAGAAAGAGCATGCCAGGTGGAAGAAACAACCAAGGCCCAGAGGCATGATCTTTTAGAGGAACTATCTGAATTTCAGCCTGGCTGTGGAGGAGGGTTCTTGTTTGTAGAAAGGAGTGGAGGCAAGAGAACGTTATACTAATCATATCAACCATATGTCAGCAGGGGGCAGCAGAGAGCTATGGACTGGTGCAGGCTGAGGGAGTTTGGTGAACTGCTATTCTGGGGGAAAGAAGGAAGACAGTGATGGCCAGGGAGGAAGCGTCTCTGTCATCAGCCCCCTTCCCCGCAAAGTACATTATGTATCAAACACTCTTCTCAGTAATTTCATACATTAACTCATTTAATTCTCAAGACAAGAGTCCAGGCAGATGTTGCAGTTATCTGCGTTTTGCAGAGGAAGAGAATGAGGTACAGAAACGTTAAGTAACCTGGCCTATGTCACATAGCAGAGACACAGCCTGGATTTCAACCCAGGCAGTCAGGCTCAGAACATTGCTCCTGACACCATAGGATGAAGCTTCTCTACATGCTCAGGTGGACTCTTCATGCACTTTCTGCAGACCACCACCCGCCCTTTCAGTCTGACACGTACATCGTCAGCTGGAGTTAGACAAAGTCACGAGTTTCCAGGGAGGTAGCTTGTCACCCCAGAGTGTCCCAGGACCTTGGCCATCTTGGCTCTTAATGAATCTTTATGGTCCTCCTGGCCGGACTAGACCCCTTTGTGGGTTTGTCTGAACTGAACTGTCACTGGGGATGTATAATTTTTCTTCCTGAAGGAGGAGGTAGTTTGGTTACTTTTCTTGGTAATTAATGCCGATCCAAAGGAGCTTGATTCAGCTGCAAGAGCTCTGTCTTTTTTCAAGGAATTAAAAAGAAAAAAACCCCCACCTTATTTGCACAGAAGAGCCCTGGTCGAATCTAGGTCATACTTGCCCTGTCCAGTTTGTTTCTCTGGTTTCAAAATAGAGAAGGTCGTTAGGACAGTGTGCCTGTAGCTTCTTGGGAGTGTTTTGATTTTCGCTTCTTTGGTTGTCATCTTAGAGCATTGTTACCCTGTTGGAGTAGGATGTGAGACGAGGCTCAGAGAAGCTGAGATAAATATGGCCTGCTCCACCCCATGCACTGATTCTCCAAAACCCTGCTGACTGATAGGCAATTTGCTTGATAGTTTGGGAATATACAGAAGCCTGATGAAAAATTCTACCTCCAAAGACCCGCTGTAATGGTATTAAAACCTTTGTCGGGGGTGGGGGGGTGGGGGGGTTACAGAGTCACCAGGACCCAGTCATACAACGGAGCGTCTTGCACCCTGAGGCACTTTGGAAACATGAAATGGCAGCAAAATGAAAGCTCCCACTTGAAAAAGGCCAAACCCCAAGACTAAATAAAGGGTTTCTTTGGTTCAGCATAACCTGGGGGAGTAATCAAAGAATTAACAACACTCCAGAGTCGCCGAGGAATTTCTGACCAATAGATCAATCTCTGTGGCTCACAACATTAGCACAATGAACACAGAGATTAATTCAGCTGAATATTTTTAGAACTCTAGAGAAAAATCCATCTGGAAGTGTTTTGAGCCGCAGCATAATGCTGTCAGATAAAGTCTGAGAAAGAAGACAGTTTGTTAGGCCTGACTGTCACCACTGGTTGTCACAGACCTGGTACAGTCAACTGTGCCATGTATTCTTTCTCTTGTACTTTTTGTCATATGCAGTGGGACTGGGGTTGTTTAGGTTTTTCCTTTCCTTTTCTTTTTTTTTTTAATTTTGATTTGTGTCTTTCACCTGAGGAACAAAAAGCTCCCAAATCTAGCACTCACCTGAAAACATAAAATCTGTTCATTAAAAGTCAGTTTTCCTTCAAACGGGAGGTACTCAGATTGGGTTTTGACCTCTGTAAGCGCAGTGCTGTTTATAACAAATGGTTTACCCTTGTCTCCCAAATGGGTTAACATGCTCCCCAGAGCCACCCATTTGTGGTCACAGTCTTAGTTCTTTCTCTGACTCAGCATGCTAAATTCAGTGCTGCCATGAGGCGGAGACACTGGCCTTGGAGCCTCACCACCTGGGCTTGAGCCTTATCACCATCATGTGATACGGGCAGGCTTGTTCCTGCACTTGGAAAATGGGGAATAATAATTGCAGACTTACACGGTTATAACAATAGAATAAAATAATTGATATGAAAGTGCTTTCAAGATTCCAAAGTTGGGACTATAATATTAGTGCCAAGTTCTTCAGTTTCTACCAAAGGGCATTACAGATAACATAGACCTTATCAATATTAAGGAAAAGAAGATATGTTCAAATAAAATAGTAATATATTCAGCCATAAATCTGCCTCTGGATTAAGAAAGACGTGTTTGTGTGTGTGTGTGTGTGTGTGTGTGTGTGTGTGTGTGTGTGTGTGTGTTGGAAGGCGGGATGATTTCTTTCAGGGTCAGACTTAGGTCAACCTCAGATAGCTTTAGGTACTCCCCACTCCTACTTATTTCAGGCCCCCTCATGCCTCAGGCTGCCCCACCATGCCCTTGTCCCCTTTCTCACCTGTGCTTGCTTGCTCATTGCATGTTTTCAGGTAGCTTTTAATCATTCCAGAGTTGGATTAGCCTAGAGGAGATGTGGACCAGAAATTTAGATAAGAGGGGTCTCGGACTGTCTCAGATCAAATTGGTATTAATGGGTTTTTTTACATTGTTTTAATTCATGTATTTAATGAGTGTTTATTGAGCATCTGTGGAGAGTCAAGGCCTGTTTTAAATTCCAAAGTAAGAATCACAGATGGTAGAGTGTTTTGTTGGACCTGCACAGGCTTTAAAATTTTCAACATAGTTGCCAACACTTAAAATTTGAAATATTTTACATTAAAAAAATCAGTGGTTCTCTTTTGCCTTGGGGTGTTATTGTTTTTAAAAATGGAAACATTTTATCAAATTCAATTCTATATGGAGCCTAAATATATGAAACATAAAAATTAGGGGATCTGGTTGATGCTGGCTTTACTGTGTGAGCCCTGACCCTGGGGACCGTCCTGTGATTCCTTGGAGGGTTACGTATTAGCTCAGGCTCCCTAGAATGGGTTTTCAAGCAGAAGGACATGCGCCTGTAGGGCACAGATGGCCCCTCTAGGGTAGGGGCAGAGGTGCTGAATCCCACGGAGGATGTTACTGTCCCACAGGAGTGAGAGCCGCAGCATGACCAGGTAAGTGGTGGGGGGGCGGGCAGGGACTGACTGAAAATTCAGATTGACAGCATAGTGGCCAGCAAGTGCCATTGACTAGGTAGGTTAGGGAAGGACAGTAGTACAGAGGTTAAAACCAGAGGCTTTAGAGTCTGGATGGCTGGGTTGGAGGTGGCCATTAGGGAATAACCTTGAGCAAATCTCAGATATAACTGAGGATAATAATAGTACCAACCTCATAGCTGTTGAGAGGTAGCTATAAAGGAGCTATTGCACACAGAGTACTTAGATCAGCTCTTGGCAGGTAGAAAAGTCTCAGTACGTGTTAGCTGTCATCAATCGAAACAGGGTCAAAGTAAAGGAGGGCTTCAGCTGAAGCCAGGCTGAGAGGGGTGGGCCCCTAGACTGACTGCTTCTCCGATGCTCCTTTTTATTCTTTATTCATTCTTTATGTTATTTAAATAATTGTTTGACAGTTCTTAAGTGGGACGGCTGAGTGATTCTAGGAGAAGACCACTGGTGGGTGAGACCTGTGTTTAAACTGGGAGCCTGCTGCAGTTTCCACATGGCAGCTGACATTTACATTCCAGGATTATGTGTCTGAGCTCACTGAACCTTAAACTAACACAAATCCCTTTTCAGCTTCTAAACTGTGTACATACCTGTTGAAGAATCTTTTACAGATAAAAAGGAGAAGGGGAGATACTAGGTCATTTCGGCCATTTGGTGCAGACCCTTCCTTGGGGAACCTCTGGCCAGAATGAAGGTCAGCGGAAGGGATCCTGATGGGTCCATATAGACGTGGCCGGGGCAGGCTGGCTCCACTGATGCTGCAAAAGCTGAGCATTGACTCTGGGACTCTGCGTCAGCTCCTTCTGCAAATGTCCACTGTGGTTTACTTGTGTATTTGGCCTTTGATGAAAACCCATATTAAAAATGTTTATGTTTATTTCCTGGCAATGAACATGGTAACTGGAGAGGCAGCCGTAACAGGGAACTTGAAAAGTGATGCCAGCTGTGGCAGAAGCAGGAGTGACCCAAGCTTCCCAGATCCGTCACTGGTAGTTCCCTTCCTGGACAACATCACTTAAAGTAAACCTCTAACATGCCCTCAGCGGAACAAAAGCTGTGCCCTTGAACAGGCCTCACCCTTATCAGCAGGGCCACTTAAACAGACCTTGGAGGTTTTGCCGCCTCTGATCCCTCAACTCAAATGGTGGACCAAATAAACAGTCCTTTCCCTGAGACATACAGCGAGACACCTCTGTGGTACATATGGTGTCTTCTGCCTTGTTACATCTCCGGAGATACTTACTGCCTCTAGGAGAGGGCCATGAGTAACTGACTGAATGGCAGGCCCACCTAGCTCTAACCTCAGATCACCCTGCAGCCAAGCGCAGAAGCATAGATCAATTAAAGTTTATGGCTCAGTTTGGACTCTGAGAAATCAGTCAAGGCTTGGAGCTGGTGTGTCTCCAATTCAGATGCCTTCAGGGACAAGGCAGGGAACATGAAAGTGTGGCAACAGGTACTGGCAAGAGATGGAGCTTCAGGAACTTCAAAGTGTGCTCTGCCTCAAGCATTCCTGTTAAAAGCATCTCTAAACTGCCACGTGGGGCCTTTAGATCCCTTAGTCAGAGGCAGTAACAGAGCACCAGGAGAAACTAGAATATTATCTGGCTTCCATATAGATCTCCTGCTCTGATCCCAGAGCGGGCTGAGCCTGAAGCTAAGTGCCAGCCCCCTCCCACCCCCTGCCCCAGCAGGGAGGTGACTTCAGGCCACAGTGGGATTTTGGTAACTCTCTCCTTCTAAGGTGGTGATGCCTGATTGCAATGTGTTGTGTTGGTCCCTACCAGGCATTTTAAAAAAGGACATCTAAGGAAAGTCTAAACTTACTTGAGCAGCTCTCATGGGAGAATTCCAGGCCTCATGAAATCATTTGAGGGAGGGGTTTTTCTCACCTCTGCCGTCATCCAACGGGATGGCAATGTGAGGGCTGGACAGGGCATTCTTTGTGGCCCCCGGAAGATCACCCCAGGACTGTGGTGTCTCCATGTGGTTGAGGACGAGAGCAGCTGGAGAATGTGAGGTCATATAGCACAGAGTTTTCATCCAGGACTCTGTATAGTTTCCCTCTTTAATTGCTTCTTGAAGCAATTTATAATGACCATCCTCCACTCTCCAAAATAATCCACTAAATTCATTTTGCTCTGAGAATCTGTGAGCAGAAGAAACTCCAGGCATCCGGGAGTTTGCTGGTTTTAGGGGGCTCTCTGTCCCTAGGATGATGAAAAGGGCCTGAGTCCAACGAGCCTCAGCAGAGCATTGTATATCCTGTCTCAGTGTGATGAGGGGAAGACATTGGATCCTCTAATCATCAAGATAGTAGCCATAGAGCAGCAACACATATAATCATAATTGCACAGTAAAGGAGAAATTGAATCAATTTTTTTTTTTTTTTTTTGCGGTACATGGGCCTCTCACTGTTGTGGCCTCTTCCGTTGCGGAGCACAGGCTCCGGACGCGCAGGCTCAGCGGCCATGGCTCACGGGCCCAGCCGCTCTGCGGCATGCGGGATCCTCCCGGACCGGGGCACGAGCCCGTGTCCCCTGCATCGGCAGGCGGACTCTCAACCACTGCGCCACCAGGGAAGCCCTGAATCTGTTTTAATACACACTGCATCGTGAGGGAATACATGAATGACTGGCTATCCCACATGTATCAGTTAATAAGTTAGCCATTTCATTGGACAAATTGAAATTAGCCTATGTTGAAAGAGTCAGATTGACTCCTTTAACCAATATGGACTAAATCTGTTTTGGATTTACCTGGAAGATCCTTTTGGATTAAAGGAAATTCAGGTGACAGGACCTGCGAGCTTCTCTTTGAAATCCTTTAAACCTCTGCCCAATCTGTACAGACCATTCTGATGAATGTAAAAATCCATTCTTCTGAGGATAGGCGGTAGTGAAATTATCTCTGAAGGGAGATTTGCACGGATGCAGACGTCATTCAAAGGGAAATCAAGTGAAGATTCAGAGCTGACCTATTGCCTCTGGCTGCTCTTTCCACTTTATAATTAGCAGGTTTTGGTACCGTCTCACCTTTTCTTTCAAAACAAAGGAGTGAAGCAAGCTCCGACATCCCTGCCCCTCCCGCCAAAACATTGTGATTTCTCCGTGCGCTGGAGGAGTGACTATTAGCGGCAACACGGGGTTCACTTCTCACTGGTCTGTGCTGTGCTCTCTCAATCCCAGGCCGCGTCCAGATGCTGCCACAGGCGGTGTGTCTCCTCCACGCGCTGCTTGAGAACGGACACACCGTGTACGTGCACTGCAACGCCGGGGTGGGCCGCTCCACTGCCGCCATCTGCGGCTGGCTCCAGTACGTGCTGGGCTGGAATCGCAGGAAGGTGCAGTACTTTCTCGTGGCCAAAAGGCCGGCTGTGTACATTGATGAAGACGCCTTGGCCCGGGCAGAGGAAGACTTTTATCAGAAATTTGGGAAGGTTCGGTCTTCAATATGCGATGTATAGGTGATGGATCTGCCTCCCCTCCCTCCCTGTTTCCTTATGAAGTCTGGAGTGATGCTTGTAAATGACCTAGAAACCAAGATTCTTCCTCAACTGGAAAGACGGGTCTTGGCTTCTCCCCTGACCTGACTTCTTTAGTCTGGCACTGACTTTTGGTTACGCTTTGGTTGAGCTGTATCTTCTTCGGAATATTTTACAAAGGAAGCTGTAATTGACACACAAGAAAAATCCACAAGCAGCTGGACTGTGCAGTGTGGTTCTGGCATCAGACAGAAAGTGAATGGGTGCAGTTCTGTGCCTGCAGGCGGCTCGGCCCCTGCAGCCTGGTGGCTGCATTGCGGTACTGTGAAGCACGACTGCCCTTGCTTGTTGCGTTGTGACTTGGCTTGCGGAAGAAAAGGTTGGGAGTTATGTAGATAGCATCACTGTGTGTGTCCAGGCACACACACACACACACACACACACACATGCACACGCACACACACACGTACATACACGCTCAGCTTTTCTGCTGAACTGAGATGGAATTATAAAGTAAGAGAGTTGGTCATTTGACCAAAGAAGGGAATAAGTGTGGGCGGGAGCCTAGGCTATGATAAAGTAAGAGCCTCATGTGACCCAAAGCGATGACTTTCTAGATTTTTTTTTTTTTTTTTTTTTGCATTCTGCTTCATGGTTGTTAAAATGTGTTCCAAGGCCTCACCTTCCTTCTCTACCCACAATCCTGTGTGACAGCCTCAGTAGCATTATTATCTCTATTTGTTTTAGCTGAGGCTCCGGAAGCAGAGGGAGCGTGCCCAAGGTCTCATGGCTGGTGAGGGACAAGCTGGAGTTTATCACCCGGGTTTATTTGACTCAGTGCTTTTTCAACACAACCTGTGGTTTTGCCAGCACAAAGTTCAGTCTCTGTCAGAGGAAGGTCGATTTTTTTGCAGCAGTTTCTACAGTAAGAAATGGAACAGCATTCTGATCAGTTGCCATAGAATTCAGAAAAGTAGTTATCCTAATTTAAACCATGGGGGCTGTCTCAAGGCCAGAGTGGCCTGAGCCATACATAGCTCACAAGAGGAGCTATATTCCCAAAAGAGCCCCAAGTGCCAAAGTCCACAGACAATTGTTCCACAGTTTAGGAGTGATCCACAGTTTAGGAGTGATAACATAGGCGTTATCCCTCAGTTTAATACAAAACACGGTTACTGTGCCTCCAGACTATGCAACTCACTATCCTGGGTTCTATAGGAAATATAAAGATTAATAAGATGTTGTCTTCAGAAAGTTCATAGCCTAGAAAAAGCCCTGTGTTCAATCAGGTGCACTGCAGGGTTGAACTAGTAATGATTTGCTGGGATGCGGAAGGGGAAGTAACTTTTATTGGATACTTCTTACGTGCTAGATGCTTTACGTCTTATTTAATGTAATCTTCACGGTACCTTATGAGGGAGATTTTATTTTCTCCATTATATAGATGAGGAAACTAAGACTCAGAGAGATTAAATCAGCTGTCCTCTATCACATGGTGAATAAATAGATGAAATAAGATACAAAACTAGGTTTGTCTGACTCAAAGCCCATACTTTTTCTGTTAAACTAAAATGCTTATTTATTTTTCTCCTCCTCCTTTTCTTCCATAAACATTTATTGATAGATATGAGAGACTCTGATTTAGGAAGTATGGGGAAAAGAAGGACGAAAGGTAAGTCCCAGTGGAGTTCAGAGGAGGGAGAGGCATCTTATAATTTGGGCAGAGAAGGCTAGACAGGACACATGTATCCTACAATTTTACAAAGTTAAATTTATAAGCCAGGATTAAGTAATGTGAAGTGTAGTTCTCTGGCTAAAAATAAGTAGAAATAACTATGGTCTTCGAGTAACCCGTAGTCATAGTGTGTTATGTAAAATTTAATCTTAAAAATGGAATATTTCTAACTAATTATATAAATGTGTGTGTGTGAGAATTTCTTTAATGTCTACGAAGTCCAGCTACGTAACCTCCACCATAGAAAGACTTTTTTGGTGTGGATTTTCCCCTTTTTTGCTTTGATAGACAAAATCAGTTTAGGGCTATTGAAAATGTTTTGGAAAAACTTTTCACCCTCAGTGAATGGAATGTCCAATGTATTTCAAAATCACCTGGAACTTTTGCTAAATAAAAGCATTAAAAATGACCTCTGTGTACAGGATTTTTTTTTAATGTTGTTAATTTAGTCTGAAATCCAGAAGAAAAAACTGTGTCTCCTTATTTGTCAAAAGAGGCATTCGGCTGAGCTAAATTGTTTTTTCCTTATCGCTCTCATTAGCTGATCAAAATTGGCAGTTACAGGACAAAAGAAAGTCAAAGGTGAGGACACCACAGAGAAGTGAGGATGGAAAGCTCAGGGGTGTGTCAGAGAAAATCAAAGCAGATATTGTGCCATTAGCTGCTTGTCACTGGCATTAACAAAACTTTCCAGTCACAGATTTTTCAAAGAACAACATAAGATCTCACTCAGGGTAAAGAGATGTCCCAATAAGTTTACTTTCTTTTAGACTTGAAACATTATCTTTCAATTATTTTCTGTGCTAATGTTAGGAAAAATTTAAGAAAAGGAACACTCTTTTGACCAACATTAAGGTGTGGGTGAAAACCACTTGGCTTGGCCTAAGAAATAATGATGAAAAAATGTGGTTAGGACTTTGGAACCTATGAAGAAGTAATGAAAGGAAACATCGAGGATGAGCTAGCTAGGAAATGAGAACTTCCACACATGAAAGAATACTGAATAGCTAAACATAGAGTCAGTTTGATCAAAAGTTAAAACTGAAAGTATCTTTGGAGATAATCTGTTTAATTCCTTTATTTTACAGAGGAGCAAACTAAGTCTCAGAGACCTCAAATGACTCTTCCTGCCGCAAAAAGCTTTAGTTGAGGGCGGTGGAAAGGGATGAGCTAGGGAGATAGGTCAGGAGATTTATTGCGGTATTGAGGGGTCATAGGAAAGTTCATGGGAGTTGAGAGCAGACAGTATTGTCAGTGGGGAAGAGTTGGTGGAAGATTAATGGAAACTAGAGTAAGTGGAAGAAAAGTGGCTAAAATGAGAAAAAGCAAAGGGCAGCGAAATTTCCAAAAGAAAAAGCAGGTGGTTCCTTTCATAACAATACTCTTGGGGGGATTGAGAAGGAAGATGTGCATGTAGAAACAGGCATTTAGGGTCAAGTTTATGTTCCCAGGATAGAGGGTCATGCTAAGTATCCATCTATAATACTTCTCTTTGGGACTAGATCACAGTAGGAAAAGGGACCAGTTTGATGTAATGTGCTGACCAAATAAAGGGGAGGGATGCACAGAGGTTTATTACCTGCTGGAAAAAGAGAAAATCTGATAGGAGATGGGACTAAGAATAAAATGGGAAGGACAGATGAAGCTACCTCTCATTACAACAATAATAATGGCAATAATAATAAAGGGAAAAAGAAGAACAACAATAACAACTTTGTTCTTTCCTTCCCCAATTACTCCAGCACTCT